ATATACCAGCAAAAGTTGTAAGGCTTTCCAATGCAAGATGAACTTGAGGAGGAGTACAAGAATATCGCATGTATACTTTACATACCAGAGTAAGGAGGAGACGCTAGTGCTGTTGAGAATGGTACCTTAAAAAGGCAGACTGTTTGGAATAAACAAAGACCACTCTCATCTCTGATATAGGTGCTTCCTCCAAATAAAATAATCAAAATATATTTTAAAAAGCAGTTTTAAAGAAAACCTCAGTATTCATTCAAGAAGTATTTTCTGAGCACTTATTATGTGCCAAACTCTAGGTTAGGTATCAGACACATAGGTAAATATTATTTCCTTCACATCAAAGTTTTCAGCCTACTGGGCACCCACAAACATCTATGACAATTCTAACCCCAAAGTCCTTCTCCATACCACAGTTCCAATCAGTTTCCTTAACACACAAAAACACTTCCATTAAAAAAAGGAAATAGGGCTTTCCTCCCTGGTGGCAAAAGTGGTTAAGTCTCAGCACTGTGAAGCTATCCACAGCCACTGCATCCCAGGCCAGGGAGCTGACCCACATGGTACAGCAGACCTCTCCTGTCTCTCACCCACTGCTCCCTTCAGCAGTCTATTTCAGTAGATCTGCCTGTTCTGTCCCCACTCTGCCTCTGGTGAATATAATAAAGACTGCTCTCATCTCTGATATAGGTGCTTCCTCCAAACAAATATGCAATCAAAAATAAACACCCCCGGGGCCTCCCTGGTGGCCCAGCAGCTGGGTTGTGAAGCTGCCCGCAGCCTCTGCAGCGCCAGTTCCATTCCCAGCTGCTCCACGGCCACCGGAGAGGGTCCCACATGGTCCCACATGGCACGCACATCTCTCCTGCCACCCCTGCTCTCCTCAGCAGTGTACTTGGTCCTTCTGCCTGCTCTGCTCCCCGCTCTGGCTTTGGTGAATTCTCTCACCCTCCCACGCTTCTGACTGTACCCAGTGCTTGTATGTATGTATGTATAAATCAATCAATCAATCACCCCCACCCCAGCCGCAACTCTAGTCTACACCCCAGCTCTTGTGTGCATAAATAAATAAATCCTTAAAAAAAAAGAGGTAATAGCTATAGTGCATTATGATACTATATTTTATTAAGTGCATTTTATGTAACTGATTACTGTTCTTATTTGAAATCTTTAGAAAGCTTTATACAGTAGGGTCTCCCTGGCGGTGTAGGGGTTAAAGTCAGTGCTATCAAGCTATCTGCAGCCACTGAAGCATGAGTTCAATCCCCGGCTGTTGAGCTGACCCACATGGCACAGCAGACCTCTCCTTTCTAACCTGCTGCTCCCCTCAACAGTGTATTTCAGTAGATCTGTCTGTTCTGCCCCCCACTCTGTTTCTGGTGAATCCTCTCACCACTCCCATACCCGTCCCCACCTCTGGCCCACACTTCAGTTCTTGTATGCATAAATAAATAAAAATAAACCTTTTTTAAAAAGAGAAAGCTTTACACAGTAAACATGGATTATACTGTCTGTGCGATATTTTCCTTAAAAAAGTAGGCACTACATATTTGAATAAACCTGTAACCCCAAATTATACTCATTCCTCTAGGAGGAAAAATCAGATTTTATATAGCAATCTTAATCTTTTTCAAGCCTGCAAATATTGCAAATGAACTCAATATCAGTAAGTACTGCATTATATTAATTCTGAATGCTACTGATTAACAACATAAACAACTTTAGCTTAAGTTTAGAGGCGATATAAAGGTTGAAAATCCAAAAGAATTGATATGCCACTGTCAAATGAAACAAAAAGAAACTTTAAATCTATAATCTCTAAAACAAGCTAATGAGTTGGTGCAACCTGTTTAGCCACTTTCTTAACACACACCCAAATGATAGGACAGTAAATCTCACCAGTGAAGCTTTCTTCTAAGTTACTTATTAAAAAGTTCACAGCAAAGAAAATATAAGACTCAGAAGAACAATCAAAACTACAAACATTTCCAGCATATTAGCTATATGTGAACACTTTATAAATATGTTGATTCTAACGTCAACATTTATTACAAGCTTATACTTGCAGTAACTGTACTTTTAAAACATTCTACAATATACTTAATGCTGGTTCCTTTTCTCTAATCTAAACACAATCATTTTATAACACACAAAATTTTAAGGCACAGTGACCCTGCATTTATGAGAGGATGAACTTAATATTTCACCTAAAGCTTTTGAAAACCCATAAAGTTTCTCATTTAAGGCCTCCCTGGTGGCACAAGGGGTTAAGCACCGCATTATGAGGTGGTCTGCAGCCTCTGCAACACAAGTTTGATACTCCAGCTGGTCAGGGAGCACCCACATAGTGAAGCAGACCTCTCCTGTCTTGCCCGGCTCTTCCCCTCAGCAGTGTGTTTCCATCAGTCTGCCTATTCTGTTCCCCACTCTGTCTCTGGTGAATCCTCTCACACATGCCCCCACCCCCGCATCTCTGGCCCTGTACCCTAGCTCTTGTATGTATAAATAAGTAAATCTTTTAAAAAAAAAAAAAGTTTCTCATTTACATAATTTAATTTTTATTTGCTACCTTAAAATTATTCTAAGGGTTTATTTTACTGACAGGCTATTATATTTTGTCTTGTTAGTGTCTGTCTACATTGCTGCCTCCAAGTAATCCCTTCCTTCACTCTTTCCCCGTGTAATAATCTATACTAAAAAAAAAAAAAAAAAAAAAATTCCATCCTGACTGAAGACCTATAAGCTTTCTTTTTTTTCCTTATATTCTATTTTAGTTAACCAAAGCATTTTTCTTTTGGCTCCTGGCAATATATAACTATTTAAATTCAGAACTAAAAGAGCCTTAAAGATGACCTAGTAAAAGATTCCAATTTTACAAAAGAGGAAAAAGACCCACTAAAAGAAAAGTGGTATGGTTGAGATGAAATTATTTTCCAAGTAGATACTAACTAGTAAGTGAAATAAGATTGGGCAAAAAGAACTTATGTAGTAATTTAAACAATTAAACTGAAAAACTGACACATTATTGATATTTTAACAAATTTCCCCACACTAACTTGATTTCTAAAATTCATTTTCAAACTTAATTTAAAACTTAAAGTATTCTTGCATCTTAATTGTAAATTAATTCAATCTCAGTTCTTAGTTGGAGATTTACATTGTGTTCTTTGTAATTCAAAAAATTTCAATTAACAATGATAAATGGAATTCAAGGAGACACAAGGAACTTATCATGCATGACCTACAATAAGTCTCATGAAATACTCAGTAGCATGTTACTAAAATGTTATAACTTCTAACTAAAGACCACAAGATAACCAAGATACTGTAACATTAGAATTATGGAAAAATTAAAGTTTAAGTATCTTTAAAATCCACATAAGGGGAAAAAAACTATACTGGTAAAATATAAAAACAATGAAAAACTTCTTAAAACTTTTTATATTATTGAAATTATTTCTAAGAGTAAGATAAAGCAAGTTTCAAATAAAAAACTAAAAAACAAATATAGTTGAGACTGAATAAATCAAATGAGGTTTGCTTCACTGCTAAAAGCAATAATCAGCTCCAAAATGTTGGGATGCTTAATGCACAGCATGTCAAACTATCATACTGTGCTAAATAAATGACATGAATAAGTATAAGAAATATGGTTAATACCAATGAACTTATTTATGAATTTTTTGTTTCTTTTTGAAATAGCTTCTAGTTTTCAAATAAAGGCTTTAGAAAGAAGCCTAAATATAGGGAAATGTTAAACATAGGGAAATGCATCTTTCTAAGTGATAATAAATGTTTCTATTAAAGTAATACATTGTACCAGAGTTATATTAAAGTCACAGAAGGACAAAATGACATCTCTTCTAAACTTTATTTCCTCCTCTGTCATTCCCATTCCACCAAGGAAATGCTTCTAAAGCCCCTTTCAATTTCCTATGGCACAAATAGGGGTCACTTCCAAACCTATTAAGACTCAAATAGTCAGTTTCACTCAAAATCTGCCTTGTCCTGATACCCACAGAGTGCGTAAGATCAAATTTAATATTCCCTTCTTTTTGAGGTTAACCCAGCCCATTTTACTCTAGTTGCAACAAATCTGGTTTATGGAAGTTAGAGTAGCCTTTGGATCACTTAAAAGTAAAGAAGGTTGGATTATAAAAAATGCTGCATCTATTTATGACACATCCTGGGTGGAAATTGTAGGTACTGGGATCAAGATAATGCACATCATGTCCACTCTCTACCACTGTCCTTACGAAGGAAGAGAAAAATTTATAATCATTCAAATAAATATTTCACCCACTGGAATCTTTTAAAAATAAGTCCCATTTATATCACCAAAATGTCCATTAAAAACCACTAAATCACCATATCCTGGAAATACATTCTGGCCTAGTTAAAAGTTCCAAAACAAAAATCTTCAACATACACCTATAATTTAAAATCTTTTTTTTTTTTTTTGCTAATTAATCATGGATTTCCTCTACCTTGCTAGTATGACTGTTGAGGTCTTTTTTAAATTTCACTGCAAATCAGAATTTATAAGGTCAAATGCAAATTAAGTTCACCAAGTCAAACAAAATACTAAACAGAAAGGTTTCAGAATTTTAATCTACTAGAGAAACAGCAAGGAGCCAAGATGAAAGATCTGGTAGGAATTCCATCAATACTCTGCCAATTGTGGGCCAAGGTAGACATGTATTAAACTGCACTTTATTCTTCACGTCTCCACACTGTAAAGTAAGAAACATTATGAAACTTGACTTTGCAATTTTTTCGGAAGCAATAAAGAACGTCTAACTTTCAGGTCAGCGTCAGCCAAATCTTAAGAACTACAAGTCACCCAGAGTCTGGCAACAGTAACTTTTCTTCCTTGACCCAAGAAGGCAGAGTGCCAGAGGGAAATAGCAAAGAGTAGCACTATATAAACAGGGCAAGTGGCACAAGAGCAGAGGCAAGTTATATAACCAAAATATATTTTAAATATGTTCATAACTCGTAACAACCTTTGCCTTTGGTTGGTTTCTTGTTTGGAGTATCAGTTGAAACAGTTAATTCAATATTATCTGGATCGCCTCCTTCCTCTTCAATAGCCTACATTAGAAAGAGAAGTTAATATGCTACACAATCTATCTAAACTTATTTTATAAAACGAAATAAAAAATTAGCAACCCTCAGGCCTCAAGACATTAGAAATGCCATTCATTTCATAAACCGACTTCAAAAAAGAGCAATAAACCACACGAGTGAGAGAAACTTTCATCTGGGGGAAACATTAGGCATCAAAATCACATGGAGTTTAAAAATCTACCGAGTCGAGGTAATTACATATCACTTATTATCATACTGAACAAAAATCTAAATATTAGCGATTGCGCAAAAGTTGCAAGCTACCAAAGTATATAACTAAAATGATCTTTCCTAATTTCTATAATGCACTTTTATTTCTCCTCTACTACAATTCCAACGCTCTCTCGAACCAGAAAGATAATCAGGGATCAAAAAGCAGATTGCTGCGCTAATGCACAAACTGAAAAACCCAGCGGAAAACAAACCCCCTGTCTCACCCACCCATGAACTCCCCCTACCCATTCCCCCCCAAGATGGGGAAGAAACGGTTGGGCACAATTAAACGGTAACTTCGCAGAAGTCACCAAAGTAACCATTCCCTCCGAGGCCAAGCAATGCACGCGCTCACCATCGCTAAAGGCTGGGGACCCAGCGCCTCCCGGGTCTCCACGATCGCCCTTGGGAGGCCGCGCCGGCCGGCCGCAGCCCTCGCAGCCAGGCGGGGACGTCCCGGGGGAAGCAGGGGCGAACTCGGCTGCGGCGGCCGGTCCCGGGCGGCTCGCGGGCCGCTCGCAGGCCCGGCCCGGCGCTCGGGGGCGGGGGCGCCGCGGGAGGGTCTCCGTCCTCCCAGCGCGCGCCCGCGCCGGCCGGGGCCTTCCCACCGCACCGCCCCGCGGGTCTCGGCGGTGGCCGGCGGCCGGGGACTGCAGCGGAAGCGGGGGTTCCAAGGCGCGGCCTAAGCTCCCCTTCCTGGAACCGGCCGGGCCTCACCTGCTTGAGTCGGGAGACGAGCACAGTCTTGACTCCGGTTATGTCCAAGTTCCGCCGCTTCAGCTCGGACTTGAGATCGATGACCCGCAGATCGGTGATCTTTTTGCCTTCCGCCTGGGCCGAGGCTGCCATAGCACCGGTAGCGGCAGCCATTTTAGGAGAGAAGCGCGCTGCCGAGGCACCGAGTGGGCTGCAGGGCGGCGGCAGCAGCGCCAACTTCGACCCAGGCCTCCGCGGCCGCCGGCGCCGCGCAGCGCTGCGCACAATGAGCCGAAGGCCCCGCCCCTTGCCCGCCACCCCGGCGCAACCTGCTGCCGCAGCCAGCACCCGGATGACGGTCGCGCGTGCGCACTGGGGTGCAGGCCGGCGCCCGCGACAGGCGGGCCCGGCGACCTGGGCGGTGCGACCCCTCGCGTAGGCTGGGAGGTCGTGCACGTCCAACCGCGGCAAGGTCCGGCCCGCAGCCGTTTCAGGGCGATTCGTAAGCCATTTTCTGGCAACGTCCCCGAGTCTTGAGTAACAATAGCATGCCAGGCGCTAGACGGAGCAAACAGTCGGCGAGCGCATTGCTCAATCAAAACCAAGGGGTGTTTGCTCGCCCTCACCTTTCAGGAAAATATGTTGTCAGTTCAGTAGAATAACCGAAAAAATGTGAACTAGTGACCTAAATTCCATGAGAACCAGTCACAAGGCCTAATAAGAATATAAAATACCACAAGTGTTTTAATACTAAAAGCCCTGGCCTGGGTGACAAGTCCCACGGGCTGTCTCTGGGGGAACAAGCCCACGGTCCGAGACTTCGGTTTATTCTAGGGCTGCCCCTGCTCACTGGAGAAACAGGACAGAGCCATTGCACTGACCACAGTTTGCTAGTCACTTTTGATGTTGATGGCAAAAAAATGAAACTATCATTGAATGAGGAAATTAAGATTATAAATAACTTGTGACTGCAAAGGGGCAAATCTGGGAGAGTTGAGGAGGCAGGAGATGATCTAGGTTTCTGAGTCCTCCCCTGAACACTTAAGAATACAGGACAAGATCCAAAAGCAAATCTATTTAAGGAGTGAGCAAAGTGAGAGCTAAGCAACAGGAGAAGAAAATTTTTTGGTTGGCATGTGGCAGGATGCTGTCTGTCCTGACAGATCCATTTCAGCAGAGCAGAGACTGGGATGCAAGCAGAAGCAGTGGGAGGGGTAGAAAAAGTGGTTTGGCCCATGTTCAGTCTCATTAAGGTCAACTTGGTGGTTCTGCTCCTCCCCTAGTTCCCAGCAGCCTCCCTTCCAGGGAGTCAAGACTTCTACAATCAAGTTGGCTATGAGCACCACCCACTGGCTCGGAGGTTGCTACTCACTCCTCCATTTACATTGCCATTCTCATACTGTGTTCACTGTTTTACCTTCCCAAAACTGGGGATCCTGAGAACAAAGACCATCCCTTTATGGGGACCCAGTATTTACAGGTGAGTACCAATTTGTCACTTTATCCAATTTTTTTTAAGATTTATTTATTTTATTTATACATACAAGAACCAGGGTACAGGCCAGAAGTGTGGGAGGGTGAGAGAATTCACCAGAGACAGAGCAGGGAGCAGAACAGGCAGAGGACTGAAGTACACTGCTGAGGAGAGCAGCGGCCTAGACAGGAGAGGTCTGCCTTACCATGTGGGTATCTCCCTGGCCGTCTGGGAATGGAACCTGCGCTGCAGAGGCTGCGAACAGCTTTATAGCACTGTGCTCAACCTGCTGCACCACAGGAGAGGCCCTTTAACCAATGTTATTAATCATCAAAGTATAAGCATGTATGGGCTAAAACTATTCAATAAATTCCATAACTCAGTATGATGTATGGTTAAATAACCAGACATTTCCTCGTTTTAAATTTGATGAGGGTTGTCTCACTTAAGTTGCTTTTTCTGATTGACTAATAAGATCAAAAGGAGGAAAATTGGATATTATAAAATAATATCTGACATTCAGGTAGTTCTTTACAGTTTATAATGCACATTGATATACAATAACCCCTTAATCCTTCAAAACTCTGTGAAGTAAATCTCTCCAGAGCTTTGAGAGATTAAATGGCTTACCCATGTTCTCATAGCTGGTATGTGACAGAACTAGTGCTGGAATCAGGGGATTTGATTCCAAATCCAGCTCTGTCTCTACTACAATTTGGTTCACAGTCATAAGATTTCAGAATTCAAAGAATCTTTGGCAATCCTCTAGCACAATCCTCTCTTTTCTTTTTTAAGGTTTATTTCTTTATGGATACAAGAACTGGGGTAAGGCCAGAGGTGTGGTGGGTGAGAGGATTCACCAGAGACAATGTGGGGAACAGAACAGGCGTATCTACCAAACATACTGCTGAGGGGAGCAGTGGGCAAGTCAGGAGAGGTCTGCTGCGCCATGTGGGCAGCTCGCTGGCCTGGGATTGAACCCACACCGCAGTGGCTGCAGATTGCTTCATAGAGGGCATCCTAACCCTTGCACAACCAGGGAGGCCCCAATCCTCGCTTTTTTTATATAAATGATTTGAAGAGATTTACCTAGGAACCACAATTAATTATTTGCCAAATTGGAGCTAAACTTCATATCTCATTCCAGAGTCTTTCCATCTCAGCCACCCTCCTCTCACCTTCTGTGGACACTTGTAAAGAGGAATTATACTAACCAAAAGCCAATGCTTTTATTCATTTATTTATTCATTCATTCATTCATTCATTCATTTATTATCTTTTTATTGAGGTTACATTGGTTTACAGAATTGTGTACAATTCAGAGTTCTAAATTCACAGCCTTTCAGATATACGTTACCACATCACATCCAATACCACGGCACCCATAGTCCTCCATCCTAGTCCACTGAGCACCTCCCCTTTTCCCTCTTCCCTCCCATTCCACCAGTGCACCACTGAAAATTAAAATTTTTTCTTTGTCTTAAGGAAACCTAATAATGGATATATCTTCAAATGGCTATTTCCAAGTGCAGAGATCTGTGCCTTCTGATCTGCTGCACTTGAGGACCTATCATTTGCCAAAATGTCACAAAGTTTAACCTGAATTGCATCATAAGAAAACAAACAATTCCAATTGTAGGACATGCTAGAAAATAGTGGGTCTGGATTCTTTTTAAAAAGACTCATGAAAGTTAAAGAAATACAAACAACTATGAACAAAAGACACACTATCGGGGGCTGAGAAAGGAGGGTTTGGGGTCAAAATAAGGGGGTTGCAATTGTATGGGGAATATAAAAATAAAATTTAAAAAAAAAAGAAAGTTAAAGAAATAGAGCTATTCTAGAACACAGATGAGTCATAAATTTCAGGTGTGGTTTTCTTTGTCCTGAACCAAAGAACAAAAAAGCTGCTAAAGGATTATTGAAAAATTGGAGATAATTGGGAAATTTTACTATATATTAGATTGTGTTATTGTACCAGTGTTAAATATGTTGAATATTATATCATGGTTATGTAGCATGTCTTAATTCTTAGGAGATCTTCACAGAGGTTCTTAGAGATAAAGTACTGTGCTGTCTGCAATTAGCTTTCAAATGGGGGTGTGGCAAGGAGGAGAGAGAGAAGCAATATGGTAACAATCATTAAAGTAAATGTAGCAGAATGTTAATAATTTGGGAAACCTGGAAAAATATTAACAACCAGGAAACAGAGGTGAAGCACATATGGTTGTTCATTGCATACTGTTTACACATTTTTTTTTGCAGTTTTAAAGTTACTCAAAATAACTTTGGGGAAAGCCATACATAGTTTGTTTGTTTTTTTGTAATAGTGAAAAATAAAATGGAGAAAATATATATTTTCAACTTTAACATGTAAGATATCTATTTTGTCACTTAGCCTATATTCCTATTTTTTGAAATTATCTAAATAATTCACATTTAGAATATTTCTTTACTACAATATGTTTTCCTATTTTTCATCTCTACTAAAATATAGTTAGGAAAAGAACATGATACACTTATTTCTGCATAAGAACACTGCTCAAAAATAATAACCTGTATTTTATATATAAAGCCTCTTGCTATTTATTGAGTACTTCTGCATGTATTGTGGTATTTACAAAAGTGTGTCATTCAAAAAATGTCTATCGAATATTTATTATCTGCCAGACTCTGGGAAGAAAATGATTACCTTATCAAGCTTGTGATTCTATAGGCTCCTCTCACACTGTAGACAATAAATACTGATTGCTAGAAGGAAAATAGATTGCCCTGCCCTTATGAATCTTGCATTCTGATGGCAAACAAAGACATTAATGAAAATTAAGAACAAGTATAAAATTCAAACTGTAATTAGGACAATAAAGGAGAGAAGCACAGTGCTCTGAGAGCCTATAATAAAAAAATTAATCCTTTAATTTTTTTTTATTTTTTAAAGATTTATTTATTTATACAAGCACTTGGGTACAGGCCAGACATGCGGGAAAATGAGAAAATTCACCAGAGACAGGGAGTAGGGAGCAGAACAGGCAAAGGGACAGAAGTACACTGCTGAGGGGAGCAGTGGGCAAGGCAGGAGAAGGCAAGACAGGAGAAGCCTCGCCATGTGGGAATCTCCTTGGCTGGTGGGGAATCTCCCTGGCCTGCTCAACCCACTGCACCACCCAGGAGGCCCTAATCCTTTTTTTTTTAAAGATTTATTTATTTATGCATACAAGAGCTGGGGTACAGGCCAGAGATGCGTGGGGTAGGGTGTGTGTGTGAGACAGAGACAGAGTAGGGAACAGCACAGAGACAGAGACAGAGTAGGGAACAGCACAGGCAGACTGACCTGACTACACTGTTGAGGGGAACAGTAGATAAGATAGGAGAGGTCTGCCGTACCATGTGGGTTTCTCTCTGGCCAGCCAGGGATTGAACTTTTTTTTTTTTTAAAGTTTTTTTTGTTGTTTTTTTTTTGGTAAGATTTTTTTTTTTTTCCTGTAAGATTTATTTATTTATTTATACAAGAACTGGGTACAGTCAGCAGCGTGAGAGGGTGAGAGAATTCACCAGAGCCAGAGCAGGGAGCAGAGCAGGCAGAAGGACCGAAGTACACTGCTGAGGGGAGCAGCGGGCGGCAGGAGAGGTCTTCGTACCATGCGGGACCCTCCTCCAGTGGCCAGGGAGCAGCCGGGGATCGAACTGGTGCTTGCAGAGGCTGCAGGTAGCTTCACAACCCAGCACGCAACCGCTGCGCCACTGGGGAGGCCCGGGATTGAACTTTTGCGGCAGAGGCT